GTTAGAGGGTTTGGCAGAGAACTAAAAATTACCCAGCAAACATTCTGACTCATTTTGGCATCAGCAAGGTTTTGGGTTAGGACCCCGCTGCGAGCTCGAGAACTCGTCAGAAAAGCGACTCTCTGCCCTCCTAGCAGACGAGGTGGAGAAAAGTCTGATTCGCTATAGGAAAACGCTGATATGAGTCCAATTTTGTAGCCCATTGGAGAGAGAGAGAGTTTGAAATATATATGTATGCCCTGAATAGGCTCAGGTTAGGTATTTTCACACAAGTCTATTGGGCCTTCGAAGTTTCAGTGTAATTCGAGTAGTGTAGCTGTCGTGGATTTTCGGTCGAGCTCCTGCCCCATTTTGTGGTTTTGTGGCTTGATATTTTTTCCAATAAATGGAGGGACTCACAGTTTATACTAAGCCGCCACCGAACGACTGATGGATTTTTATGAGGAGCTTCTTATTTCATGTCCGAAATACACTCGCAGGGATTGTGACATTCCCTGCCGAGGGGCGACCGCAGTTAGAAAATTAAGCTAAATTTTTGTATTTTAATTAATTTTTGATGAGTTTTTGGATATTTTTGCCTTCACTCGGCTACCGCGGCCGCCTTAGAAATACCTTCAGTTTATTTTAAGCCGCCCGAGCGATAGTTGGATTTTCATTTGGTGCTTTTTATACCACTTCAGAATCACTCTCAGAGGGATTGACATAACCAGCCGAGCGTTGATGCCAACCCTGGTCTTGGTTACTGCGGCAGCTGCCAACCACTAGGTTCGGTTCGGCCGAAAATGACTTCAGTCGTGACAGAATCTCATTCGCGTAGGATGTCAACTCCTGCGGTGGCCTTGATATCCGGTTTCTTAAATACCCTCTAAGTCACTAAGACCAAAAATAATCCTCTCTAATCTAATTACCTCTCTCTTTGCGGTTCTTTTAGGGAGATTAACCAGGGGTAGTAAATAAATTATCGCTGACAATAAACCTCCTCACTTCAGCTTTATTAAATTTCAGCCAACAGATCGTCTTTTACTCACCTGCCCAATGAAGTCCATCTGTCCCAATCTGACTGCGTTGTAATTTAATTCCCAAGCACTTGCAGCGCACTTTTTCGCTCCATTACTTTCTGTGGACTTGAAAAGTGCGAAAATCATATTACTAAATGCAACTCTGTCTCTGTACACACACTTATATACATCTGCCTGTTTTGCCTGCGATTTAGCACCTCCTGGTGTTTATTACAAAGTTAATAGGAAGAAAACAGAAAGTGAGCAGCACAAAGACAACATCGACAGTTGACGTTGAATAAGTGGTGTGGCTGGGGTTAGTTAAGGATAAGGATGAGGATAAGAAAGCAAATACAACTTACAACAATAGTCCTAAGTAGTTGTGTGTAGACAGTGGACAATTGAATTTATCTACACTACATGAGCAAAGTCAACGTTCAAAGTCATTACATTCATACGACCTCATTCCACGTCACCTAACACGCTCTGGCTCGTGCGGCATTATCCTTCTCGGCTATTTGCACTTCAAGGCGACTGCTTGTACGTACATACATATGTAATTGTTGTTGGACTACACTAAGAAATGCAGCAGGAGTAAACCGTAAGGGCAGAGGCAGAGTGAGTAGCTTTGTAATTAAGCGTACCCAGCGAGCCATGATCGTATTGTGATAGACGGACGTCATGTCTCCAGTGTTGTTGATGTGTGTACGCTCCGAGGACCCAAGATTTTCCTAGCTCTTGTAGCAGCAAGGATACGCTACAGTCTCTGTGCGGCAAAGCATGTCCGTCAAAAAAACACCAGAGAGGTGCGACGTCACAACAGTCACAGCAGAAAATCAGCACTCGCAACAGACATCCGAATGGTTTTTTACTTTGCTTGTGCTCCTGTTCGCTGAGAGCACTCTTTAACAACTCGGTATAAAAGAATGGGCGGAGGGGGCATTTCAAGCTCCCAACTTATAGCTGCAAACGAAACTATTCGATTTTACATATGCCGCAAAAACAGCTGGTACTATGAGGACCGCCATGTCGCAGTGAAGAGAAAATAGGTTGCCTGTCTGCCAACGTTGAGATCGGCCACTACACGTGGGTGGAATAGATGCCGAGAACTTAAGCGGGAAGCAAGACGCATCTACAGACAAAGAAGAAGAGGCCGAGAAGTGTGAAGAAGAAGCGGCGGCAGCCACTCGATTCCCGGCCGACCGTCAAAGTCGGTCTGGAGCTCAAGTATGCTCTACCCAATCCACAAAAAGAGGGATCCTACAGTCTACACCAAATGCCGCGGGATAAGCCTCCTCAATATCGCATATAAGATGCTATCGAGCATTTTATGTTAGAGACTGAAGCCCACCGTCAACAAAATAATTTGTTCTAACAAGTGTGGCTTTAGGCGTGGTAAAACCTAAATCTTGGAAGAGACTAACGAATCATCGATTCCAAAGCAGCAATAAATTAAAGAAGTCACACGATAAGGAATCACCGGATTCTGATGGAGAATTCGGTGTTGTTTAGAGTTTAAGAGATACCAAATTCAGATAGAGCGGCGTAAGCACAGCTCCTTTTCATGCTGAGGAAAGCTGCTTTAAAATCGATGAAGAGTTGATCTGTAACGATCCTCTTTCCAAGGTCTCCTCCGAATAGGGCGGAGTCTACTTTCTGGTTATGGAATTACTCTTGTGTCCACGTCGGGCCCCCTGGAAACGTGAGCAAGATGTGGGAGCCAACACGTGTGGAGCTTTGGGTCACAGCTAAGAAAGTTGAAGAGCATCTATGAAGCCACTAGGTCTTGATTCAAACTTAGTCGCAGCGAGGTTGTGTGCTGGGTTTGGAACCCAGAACTTTGCTACGCCTACGACTTGTGTGGAGCATTTTTTTTGAGTTTTCCTGCAAATGAAGAGACCATGAATTTCAAGCCAGTTTAAATCGAGCGTTGGATCGAACTAGTTTCTCCTATTATTTTTCTTAACTTGTCCGCTGTGGAGTGGAGACTGCAGAGAATTTTTTAAAAAAACCATAACTCTTGAGCTCCGAAACTGTGGCTTTTCAGATGTCTTATGTGTGTATATATAATACTTTTATGAATTTAATATTTGGTTTAAAAATATACATATGTACATACACCCACATGTCCACATGTTAAAGAAAAATTTACCCGACGTGATGTCCTGTTGTGTCCGGCATTTTCCTACGAACTCAATTTGCTCCTTTGTATTTTGTGTTTTTTGGTTTCTCACTCCTTTGCATCTCACTCACTTGCCCTTCCCACGCTGTGGCAGTAAGCGTGTTAAAACCAATTATAGCGCTTTCAAATGCACAAACAATTTCCTGGACCTTACCAACCCGCCGTCCTACAGCGAACTCTCCACGCCACGTACATTACCCGCTGCAGCTTCTTTGGAACTTTACCGGATACAATAATCGTGGGTAAGTGATAAACGTCCTTCCCTTGCACTTATTCATCCATATTTCCTTTTAGTTCTTTTTCAAACACACATTTTGACCTCTCGAACAGACCGTACAGACAGTACAGCACATGCCACTGCCATCCCCTGGCGTGTGCCCAACAATACTTGTAGATTTTTAATGATTTTATCTTTACTTCGAGTAAATTGCTGCTGCCACATACTCTCTCGTGCTCTGTCTTACACTTCTTCGGCTACTTTTTTCATTTTATTTATATTATAAAACCGTAAATGTCCTTTTCATTTAAGTTTACATATATGTATGTATATGTATGAGTGTCTATGGCTTACCTTGGCGGTGTCCACCTGCTCGAGCGTACATTTTCCGGTTGTTTCCTGTATTGTGTTGCTGTTTGTGTGCGTATATATGTATGTATTCGTATGTACATATTTATCTTTAATTGCAGTTAAATAAGGTCAAGAAGGTGCGTCGCTTGTATGATCTTCATTTGTTCTTTTATTCGTTCGTTTATCCTTCTGCACTTCCAATGTATTTTCTTAAGAATTTCTTACACTTAATCTTCTTGTAGGATTAAAGATTGTTGTAAGACAGGTTTTATGCTTAAGAAAATGCCGTAGAGAGTTGTAGTACCGGCTCTCCGGAGAGTGGGAAGAATAAATTGAGCGGCGTAGAGTTTGGTGCTTGCTCGTTGCGAGAGGAACTGCCGACTCAGTCTAAAGGGGGCTTTTGGCGCTTTATAACCACCCCACGGCTGAGCTCCCGCTGAGCTTATTCTAAGCCGTCTTCGAACGGTTTTGGATATTTATGAGGAGCTTTCATTGCGTGCCAGAAATGCGCTCGAAATGGCTGACATACCCTGCTGAGGAATTGGAATTCGACCACTCCTCTAGCTAGTGTTTGGGGCTGGCTTTGTTCCATGGTGTTGATGGTAGCTTCCAGTTATACGAAACTGCCTACGAGTAAAGCAGAAAATAGTTTATCTTCACTCTCTCACTACCAGATCCACTCCCTTGGGTTGCTTGCCCAGTCTGTGAAAAAAAGCTAACTACATTCGAAGCTGCTTGAAGCTGGTGTAAGTAACGAGGCGGTCGTTGGCAACCTCTTTGAGAGACTACTTCGCGGTCCGCATTATCATTGATATCTGCCTTCGTCAGACCTAATACGAGTATATATTTTCCCACTCGTGAAAGAGAGAGAGGCTTGCCGATGGCAGAAAGTTTACTTCTCCCCGTTCATATTGAGTTCTCAGAACGAGTTTTGTTGTTTTTTCCACTTGCATATTAATTGAGCGCATGTCAAGGATGACAACCAGTATCTTTGTTCTTTTTTTAAGGCGGCTTAGAACTATTCTTTGGAAAGGTCTTTACTAACCGTATGTAAAGCGAGCTCCGCTCTATAGGTAATTATAGCTGCCACAGCGAAAGTACACACATCTCGGCGACAAAAAAAAGTAGTTGTAGGCGCTCGGAGGCATCTGATTAATATCTCCTCTTCACCTGAACTTTCCCACAAGACCCGTCCGCATATGAGCACCCCAAAAAGGATTCAGAAGTAATGTCCATTCATTCGTTCGTTTTTATTAATTTAAATCTTTAAACCGTCTAACAATGCGTTTATCTTCATATTTCAAGTTTTCCGTGCGAGGCGAGGAAAAAATAAAATCTTAGCAAATCACACAAGAAATCACATTTAGCTCCGTTTAAGCTTCTTTCGCCGCTTCCGTCACTGGTGCTGCAGCTGTTGTGCTGGAGGGTTCCGCATCGTTGTTGGCAGAACGTACATCCACAACATCGGAGTCATCGCCTTCAGCTTGAGGGTAGGGTGGGAAGTGTTGGTCCTGAGGGTATTGTGGCTCTTGGGGTTGCTGCTGTTCAATCTCTGCTGGTTGCTGTTGTTCGGGATATTCGACTGGTACTGGCTCGGCGATGGGTTGTTCTTCGACTTGTTGTTGTTGTTCAACTTGTTGTACAATTTGTTGCTGTTGTTGTGGCAAATATTGCAAATATTGTTGCTGTTGTACCGGCACAACGGGATGAGCAGCGACAACCTGCTGCACTGCGGGTGCGGCCGCAACAACAGCAGATTTAACCAATGGTTCACGCTGCACAACAGCATTGAAACCATTCAAATCGTCAGCGGTGTAGGTAACGGTACGCTTGTAGCCATCGGCATCAATCACGCTGTACGAGCCGGCAACATTACCACCATTACGCGACTCCACCTGACTCTTGATATCGCCGGTCAACGAATCGTGTACGCCATATGAGAAGTCATAACGTGGCTCAGACTCAACTTCGACTTGCTTAACAATGGGAGCGACAACGGTTTTGGCTACAACAGGGGCGGCAGCTGCTACTGGTACAATGGGCGCGGCAGCGGCAACGGTCTTCACAACTGGTGCTGCATGAGCAACAACGGGCGCTGGTGCGACATATGACTTGGTGAGCACTGGTGAGTGGTGGTAGACGGCGGCAGCTGGTGCGGCGTGGTGGTACAACACCTGGTGGCCGGGGCTAGCATAAGTGGTCACGGCAGCGGGCAGATGATGGTAGGCGGCGTAGGGATTGTAAGCGTAAGTGGTAACGCCAGCCAAGCTGGAGCCGGCCAAAGCCAGAAGGGAGATGAGGCTCAAGAACTGTGAATGAGAAAAGTAAAAGGGAGACTGTAAATTGTTTATTTCAAATTTTTATGATTCAATTAATATATATTTTTTATAACATCTGCAGGAGGGATGATCTGGTATATTGAAATGAATTACAATATTTTTATGTTTAATAAAAATTGATGGCGGAGAGTCATGGGCTCGGGCTCAACAACCGTCTAGCGAGGGAATATCAACCCCTCAGAGAGTATTCAGAAGTGGAATAAGAAGCATCGCTTGTGCTTTTATTGGCTGACACGAGCTCAGCAAGACAATCGAAAGAGAGTTTCTCAAGAAATTACTGTTCCGTGGTTATGAAGGCCGACCAAATAAATATATATGTATTTGTTCAACTGTTGGCTTTGATGTCCCTATGCTGGAGCACCCAGATTTTAGCCGTGTTCGAGACCTTGTGTATAGTACATCTACTGCCGCTTTTGACGTAGTTGAATTATGGAGATCTTATCGCGGCTTAGCTGTCAGAGTATGTAGCAGTCATACGGTGGCTTCCATAATTGCAATCAGTTCTGCTTGGAAGCCACTGCACTGGTCTAGTGGTCGTATGCTCATTTTAATTGAGAGCCTCTGTAAGTTTTGAGTCATATTTGAAGATGCCTAAAGCTCTTTGATCTATAGCAATATCCCATTCGATTTGGAGAAGAGAGTTTGTCAAAGCGCGAGCGAAAACAAATGGTTAACTTCAGCTCGGTCGGAAATTTTTGTGCATATTCTATACTGTGATTTCGCCAAGGCTGGATTGGGTTCAATCTAATTGTGCTGCAGCGCGCTTGAAATATGCCATGCAGGTGGATGTTGTGGTGAGTTTTTAGGGCTTTTCAGGAGGCCCTGAAAGAGAGGTAGAGCTCTTGTTATGAGTATTAGCACAGACCGCCTCTCTCTCTCTCTCTCTCTCTCTCTCCCTGGCTTGCACTTGAAGGTAGTTTTCTAAGGTGGCCGACCAACATAAGGTCTTGATGACATACGAGTAGATTCGCATGAACTTAATGGCGAACATTGCTGTAACTTGTAGGTGCCTCTTCTGGAAGTTGTACATTAGCTCCGAATATATTTAATTTTCTAATGATCAAATTCTTTAATAAGCGGTCGAAACAAAACGAATTTTTAATATTTTAAACCAATTAAAGATTGAAAATTTATTATTAAAATTTATTAATAAAAATTTAAAAAAAAATAAGTTTGAAAAAACTAAAAAATTTAAATTTCTGATTTAACAAAAATATTTATTAATTGTTTAAAAGTATTCAATAATATTTTCAACACAAGAAAAATCGATAAATTTTTTGAAAATATGCGAGAAATATTAAAAAAAAATAATAAAAAGGAAATTATTGACTCAAAACCACTTTCTAAAGTTAAAAAAAATTTCTGAAATTAAAAAAAACCAAAAATATTGATTTGTTGTTGGTTTAAAATATTTTAAAATATTTGTTTTGATAGTAAGTGTTTTCGAAAAGTTAAAAAACACTTCGAAAGGTTCTAAAACATTAAAAAAAAAAGATTCTGCCTCTAAAACATTTAAAACTTAGTTTATAAAAAAATCAAAAAAAAAAATTAAATAAAAATAAAAATAAATTAAAATAGTAAGTTAGTAATATTATAGAATTTAAAAAATTTAATAACTGAAAATTAAGCACAAAAAAAAATATATATTTTTCAAATAAGAAAAGCACAATTTTAAATTTACATTTTTTAATTTAAATTTTAAAAATATTTTAAAGAGAAATTTCACATTGATTAGACTGCATTTTTTTCAAATAAAAAATCACAATTTATAAACTTAAATTTAAAAATTTGAGATTTAAAAATTTGAGATTTAAAAAATGTTAACAATTGAAAAGAAAAACCCAAAAGATACTTTTTTCCAATTAAAAAGCAAAAGCTTTAAATTTAAATCTTTTAAATATTTAAATTTATGACTTTAAAATTATTAATAATTGGAAAATAAATAAAAATACTTTTTTTTTATTGAAAAATTACAATTTTTTAAATATAAATTTTTTAATTTTTTAAATTTAAGATTTTAAAAATATTTATAATTAGAAAATAAATCAAAATACTTTTTTTTAATAAAAAATTACAATTTTTTAAATGTAATATTTTTTACATTTACATTTAAGATTTTAAAAATATTTATAATTGGAAAATAAATAAAAATACTTTTTTTTTCAATTGAAAAGCAAAAGTTTTAAATTCAAAAGTTTTAAATATTTGAATTTAAGATTTTAAAAATATTAATAATTGGAAAATAAATAAAAATACTTTTTTTTTAATAAAAAATTACAATTTTTTAAATATAAATTTTTTAAATTTAAGATTTCAAAAATATTAATAATTGGAAAATAAATAAAAATACTTTTTTTTAATAAAAAATCACAATTTTTTAAATGTAATTTTTTTAAATTTTTAAATTTGAGATTTTAAAATTATTAATAATTGGAAAATAAATAAAAATACTTTTCTTTTCAATGAAAAATCACAATTTTTTAAATGTAAATTTTTTAATTTTTAAATTTAAGATTTTAAAATTATTATCAATTGAAAAATAAACCAAAAAATGTCGTGAAATATTTTATAATAAAAGCAAAGAAACTAAAAGAGTAAGACCGTAATTTTAAGCTCGTAGACTGTATATTTTTTCTTTTAATCCATTAAAAAAAGCAAGATATTTATAAGAAAATTTAGTTATAAAAGGATATTAAAAATATTGACAATTGAAAATATAATTCAAAAAAGCAAAAAAAAAAGATTTAAAAAAGCAAAAAAAAAAAAGATATAAAAGGATAATATCGTAGTTTTAAACTCGTATTCTAAGCTTGCTAACTGCATAGTTTATACTCTTCAATTTAAGTTTCTGGTGTCTGTATATACATATTTCCTTTTTTTATATAAAAAATTTGACCATTTTTACCCAATCTTTTGTAGTGTATAAAATCTTATTTATCCTTCCTTAAGCACAAATAGGTGATCAAAAAAAAAAAAAAATATCCTTTGAGCGTTAATGAATTTCTAAGCGTTTTTTGTGTGTTAATCAAAGCGTCTTTGTGCGATTTCCGCTTTCATAAACCTTTTCTTAGCAACTTTGGCCGGCTGCCACTGACAGCATCCGCGTAATGTACACACACACACACAAACAGAATTCTAATTAATATAAATTTCACAGGATGTTGATTTTTAGCGAAACAATTTGTTAAATATTTTTTTTTTTTTTTTTTTTTTATTTATTTTTTTGATATTTATTTTGTGTACGCTTATCCTTTGTAGTGGCACGTTGCATATAAAATTATTTGATATTAATTTTTTATTCTAATTTTTTTCGGAATTTTTTTTTTAGTGTTTTTATCTTTCTTACAAATAACTTTTGCTCAACACTTAGCTGCACTTACTTTGCTTGCCATTGCTTCGCAATTTGTTTTTGTACGCAAATTAATTAACAAGGATATGAAAAGCAACACTGTTGCGCTCTTGCACAATGAACTAACAGCGATGTTGTGATGCTGTCAACAGACGGTGACAACTATTTTATACACTGCGACGAAGAAGAGGAAGGCAATGCCAAAAGTTGGGTTAGGAAAAAAAATAATAAAAATATATGTATATGTATAACAACAATAATGCAGAAAAAAACCAAGTAATGGTATTTAAAGAGAAAAAAAAAACGAAAGACAAGCCAAAAAGGTGTCGAAAAATTGTCGTTATTTGAATAAAAGAATTAGCAAAGAAGTCGAAACGACGCCCGCAATAGCAAGTAAGCCAATAAGCGCGCGGAAAAAATGTAAAAAAAAATTTTTAAAAAGTTTATTTTTATGCTTATGCTGCATATATTTGTATGTATGTATGTATTTCAAATTACTCATGCCTGCTCAAGCAAGTACCAATACGATTTTCGGCAAACAATTGAACTGTTTCGAAAAAGTGTCGAGCAAATTGAACCGGATGACGTGCGCACGCGAAAAACTGGTTGACATGCCATGCAATATATAACTTACCTATATTGTTTGTATGTAGCACAAGAAATAAGAGATAAATAAAATAAAAATATAAAAAAAATAAATAAACAAAAAAAGGCAAAAAATAAGAAAAACAAAGCGAAAAAATCCAAAAATATAGAAAGAAAAATACAGAAAGCGCAAAAAAAACAAAAAAACCAAAAAAAAATGTAACAGCAAGCATAAAATAAAAATAACAAAAATTACCAAAGAAAGAAAAAAAATCCAGTGACACTAAAACTGCACGTCAAATGAAACCGGCAAAGTGTAACATTTTCGACATTTTAGAAAAAAAAACCAAGCAAATTTGTCGCATATAAAAAAACAACAATAACAATAGCTAGTAAAAAAATTTGTTAACTCATTTTGATCGATCACTGGATACCGATTTTCAATTTGCTCTGATTGTAGCATTTAGTTGTTGCCATTTCGGGTGTAAATATGTATATATAAAATAAAATAAAAAAAACATTAGTATTTATTTTATTTTATATTATTTAATTCTTTTTCCATTTTTTTCCACACATCAATTGCTGCGACAGTTCGTGGCGCCAAAATCTGTTGCTATTTGAATTTTAGAGTTCAATAGCGGGTAGTGCTGTCGCTTATGTTGTTACTGTTGTTGCTATTGTCAATTGTCACATTGACACTTAATCCGCTTAGCGGTCAAATGCCAGACGTAAATGTAAAAACATGCGAGTAAACCCAAGTAAAGCAGTCAATCAGTTAACAGCAGGCTGAAGCACACACACACACACACACACACACACACACACACACACACACAAGCATATATGTAGTATGCATAGAAATTACTCAAACGCATTTGATTAAACGGAAGCAGCAACCACAAAAATTGATTGTTAGCAGTAAATTTTTTTTTCCTCTATAAAAGTTTAATTTAGATTTAATTTTTTCTTTACTAAAAAAAAATAAAAATTATTTGCCAGCTAAGTTTAATTAAAAGCACTGTATGACATTTATTAATTGGTAAAAAGTAATTATCCGCTTAATTGTTGGCAAAAAGTTGTTGAAAAAAAGGAACCCTTCTAAAAAACAAGGCAAATTTAGTGGCATTTTTCCCCCAAAAAAATATAGTTAAATTTAATTTAAGCACCAGTAAGAAGTTGCATAGCGAAATTTTCAATATATATTTCAATAAAAATCTATTGAATTATTTATTAAATTCTTATGAAAGCAAGTTTTTATTATTTTAAGTAAAAATCATGCCATTCATCATACTATTTTTTGAATTTTTTATAAAATTTTCATACGAATTTTTAGTATTTTTTTTTTTATTTTTTTTTGAATTTTTTTTATAAAATTATTATTTTTAAACACCAAAAAAATTTTTTTGATATATTTATAAAATTTTATTTAATACTTCTTTATATTTTTTTTATAATCATATTTATCAATATATCAATATGTTAACTTTTTTATACCATTTAATTTTTTATTTATTAGTTTTAAGCTTCATACCCATATTTTTATATTTCATTTTTTTTATAACAATTTTTTTTATATAAAATTCTTATGTAATATTTTTTTATTATATTTTATTTATTTTTTCAATAAAAGTATAACTTTTACCATTCATCATACACAGACACATTTTTTATAATTTTAAAAATTTTTTAATTAATTGTTTTATTATTATTATTTTATTTTTTCATTAAGTTATTATTTTCAAGCCTCATAACTGTCACATTATATATTTATTAAATTTTATTTCATTTTTTTTATATTTTTTTTATAAGATTTTTATTTTGCACAAAAACCCATCCCATTAATCATATCAATATTTTAACTTTTTTGAACCATCTTTTTAATAATATAATTTTTTTATACAAATTTTATTTAATTTAGTTTTTCTAAGCAAAAATAATACCATTTATCCAAGCATTTTTTTAATAAAATTTTTATTTAATTTTTTTTTTGTTTTCTTATAAACGTTACTCAAATATTATACCCTTCACCACATACCATTTACTTGTAATATCTTTTTAACTTTTTTTTTAAATATAATTTTTAGCAATAATTTGAACATTCACCTCAACTAAAAATTGTTTATTTACAGCAATTTTTTGCGCTCATTTGAATGCCATTCATTTCTAACCTACAAAATTACAAATGAATGTGCAATGTCATTCAGAATACAAAAAAAATTGACAGCTTTTTTGTGGTTCACAGCATGAAAATTGCCATTTTTGTTTAGTAATTGCAGACGTAAAAATATCTCATTTTTATTTCCCCATTTCTAGTATAACCTAACCTATTTTTATACTTAATCGCTTAACAAAACTTTCAGTCATTTCCATTTTTGCTTAAGTCAGGTCGCTCTCCATTGGCTCTTACCAATGGGTTGAGGGTTTTCCTGCTCCTCTCTTTCCTACGCACTTGCATCAGCAGGTCCTGCAGTATTTTCGCTCAGCCGAGCGACTAGAACTAGCCAGCGAACAATAGACAGAATATAGTAAGTTCTCGCCTCTTCAGCATTATTTCGAAGATGTCATGCGGAAGGGGTCACCATCTTTGCTACTGCACTAGTCTGAAATATCCTTTTCTTGGAGCAGAGAGGTAGCTTCTTTTCGTGAAATCGAAGTGCGGGTAGCTACACAATTAAGAGCCGATCAGTTCGTTGTTCCATCTAATGGGTTGCGCAGAATACACCTATGATTTAATCGTAAGACAAGACAGACCATATTCTATCAGGCTACAAGAATCAGCTTGTCAATTCTTCGCCGTCAAATTTGAAAAGCCCTCCTGGTAGACTATAATCTTTTGCCACATTTTTGTTTTGTTCTTGAAGCGGCAATTGCCGTGGCCTCTTCCTTTTCTGTCTAATGGGTTTCTCTACAGCACTCAATATCTTTCACTTAAGGCACGCATTGGGCTCCATCGCGAGGTATAAGTACAGTTTCTTTTACTCTCCAACTGAAGTACAACGTTATCTATCATACAAACTCTTCTCTACTCTAGAGCGTTGCTCAAGAATGCTCTCAGAGAGTGTAAAAAGGCAAGTACAAAGTTGGCTAACTGTCTTCGGGCTCGAGTGTTTCGCTCCGGAGATAGCCAAGCAGCCTGATGAGTTTTCTTGTATTGGAATAGAGTTCTAAAGACCAGTTTCTACTCTTTTGGGCATGTTTTGTCATGAAAGTTGAGTTTTCCGAATGCTATACCGAAGGTACCTCACCTCTTTATCCTAGTATTAAAGTCGCCAATAAGAAATGCGATATCATTGCAGGACACCGCTGCTCCGGATACTCATACAAGTCATATTTAATCACATCGTCGTTCTTTTCCGCCGGGGCGATATTTTATAAACTTCGCTTTGATGTAATGGGAGCGATACCACTCCTTTATGTGGCTATTTTAGAAATCGTTTTCGTCCTTGTCTCGTCCAATACAATTGAACGGCAGAGATGGCAGCCCTTAGTTTTCTTGGCTATAATAAATAGCTATCCAATACGGAGAGTTGAGATTCCAACTGGATGACCTTATATTGTGGTTCTCATTGGAGCGGATTTGTCATTGATCTGTGAGAAACTCTTGCAGCGATGAGAGTAATGTTTCAAACCAGCCTGAGGACTTCGATTTTTCATAGAAGAGAAAAATTCAAAATAAAAGGGTTCGCATGGAACAAATTTGTTTGAAGATAAGAGGATTTCTCAGGCGTAGCCCAAGCAAACTAAAAACCCTACTCGACAACCGACAGTCTGATTTGCGCATTACTCTGTACTACCTGTGCCTAAGACTGTTCCAAGCGCTCATTGCAAAAAGTCCCATCCAATGGTGAGAGCTCTATTTACTTTACTAAACATGATTGGAAGCGTTAAGGTGTGCAGATGCAGATAATCTTCAAAAGCTCCCATGGAATAGTCGATAATTACTAGATGAATTAATTAGCAGTGCCAACGAACAAATGCTACATACATACCTAAATACATGCACATATTTGAATGTAGTTCCACGAACAATTATTTGATATATGAACAATGAGCTTCTGAGTCAATATGTGGCATACTGGTCAAGCCTACTTAGTTGTGTTGGAATTATAAACCTGTGCAACAATGAACATAGTTGCCATAGGTCAGCAAATTAAATATGAAATGTGAGCTGGTAGCTTTTTACCAATAACTAAGAGTATATATGTCTTAAAAATGGAAATTTCTCAGAGATGGAGACTCAAAATAACGAAAATAAATAAATAAGTATGAAAAAAAATTATAAAAAATATAAAATTAAAATAAAAAATATTGTTGGCATTTTAAAGGGCACACCTAGTGTGAAATTTCAAAAAAATTTCTCCTTTTTCTATATTTTGGTAGATTACACTTTTAAAAATAACATATTAAAATTTCAAATCGGTATCTCGAATAGTTTTTGAGTTATAGCAATTTAAAGAGCAGCCGCTCGGCAGCTAGAGAGTCTCATTAGCTATGAGACGTACCTGAGGTATTTTATATTTAA